TTGGTTGGCTCCTCCAACCCATCTTAGACAAACTCCGCCCAGCTCTCGACACTACCTGTCGCTAGACTCGAACGAACGCAAGCAGGCGTAAAGCCGGAGGCAGGGGGAAGAAAAGTCAGCGAGGAACCACTGAGAACCACTTTACTGCAGCCAGCAGGGTCAGATCAGGGCACGTCTTTCATCATCGACCATTCATCGCCACACTCCCCTGGCAGGTCCTTTTCTAGAGCCGCCTGCCCCTCGCCTTACTGTCTCCGTACCAACTTGTCTCTCTTCTCTTCGTCCTCCACTCTGCTCCGTTATACTACGAAATACGCAGTCGGTATCCGTCCTCAACCGCGCTACCGCTACCAAACCGGCCTTGCACCTTGTTCCAGCAGACCACCCCACTCTCCTCCAGGCCCGGGGGGATAGATCATCGACGTCGGTCGCACTTCCATCGGCGCTCTACGATTCTCATCTCTCTACACACATCCGGCTCACGACACCTTTGTCGCCCTTTCAAAGCCCGTTGCTGCCGCCACCACCTCCTCCTCCACGCATACTTGGAACGGAGAGACATCCAAGAATTCGAACCCAGACAGCAACTTCTCGGATGACTTGATTCACATTCGGGACATTTTTTCTTCTTTCTTCTTCCCCTTAACCCCTCTCATTCCGCCCTTCCCCCGCCCTTCTTCAGCCCGCTCTCCTCCCGGCTCAAATCATACTCAAATACCACCTTCCGCAGCCCGCACTCCCCGCACCTGTGTGCTTTTGTGCTCGACTCGGCCTCGCGAGCCTGCGTCCGTACCTTCTCCTCCGCAGCGAGAGGATTTCACCAGGCTGTCTTCCTTGACGCCCGCTTATTCTACATCACAGCACAGTTTAAAAGATGGCCGCTGCATTTAGACCAGTAAATTCGCCTTTACCTGGTGCCGATGTAAAGATGGACGACAAGATGATGACGACGTCACCAACCACCCCGAAGCCAAGCACTGCACCGCTCCCGCGGACACCACAGCCCATGGCCGAGGATGTGAAGACGCCCACCAAAGCAACTTTCAGCAGTGGCAGCGGCTCTACCGGTCTGGCATCCCAAAAGCCTTTGCCAAGCTCGCCATTTCCTCAGGCTGTCCAGGTTCCCGAGAGTGCCGAGAAGGTCAAGACCCCGACAAGAGCAAACTCACAACACTCTAGGAGATCAAGGGACTCGGAGGATGTGGACATGGACGAGTCCGACGGCGAAGGTGAAGAGGGATCCGACGACGACAGCGTGAATGCCGATGGTACCAGATCCAACAAGAAGAAGAAGTCGCAGCGATTTTATTGCACGGATTACCCGCCTTGCAACTTGAGTTTTACTCGAAGCGAACATTTGGCCAGGCACATTCGGTAGGCCCTCCGACGTCCCCACAGACGACGATCTTTTGCTAACCATCCCAGGAAACACACCGGCGAGAGACCATTCCAGTGTCATTGTTCGCGCCGTTTCTCCCGTCTCGATAACCTGCGACAACACGCACAGACGGTGCACGTCAACGAGGACATCCCCATAGATTCCTTGGCAGCGACTGGTGCTAGATTCCAGAGGCAGATGCGGACTGAGCGAGTGCGTCAGCAGGGTGGCAGGGCTCGCGCGTCCACAGCCGGCAGCGCGCCTGGTCCCGTCAGGGGTCACTCCAAGTCGCTCTCGACATCTAGCATCGCTAGTGTGGGCTCTATCGGCTCAGCTTTTGGCTCTCGCGACGACATCCGACGACGCCCACCGCCTCTTGTCATGGCAAGCGACCCCCGCTCCCGCCTGTCCCTCGAATCGTACCGAAGTGCTGGAGATGGTCCGTACGGCTACCGCCCTGTCTCGCCAACTGACTACAGCACGCCGACGTCAGCAACCTTCTCTACTGGTCAAAGCAGCCCACGATGGGGTTCGGCAATCGCTTCTCCTACCACCACGCACTCCCGATCTCACAGCATGTACTCTTCTGGCTCACGGACTCCGGGCCGGCGACTGAGCGTGCCATCCGGCGTCAATCCTTTCCAGTCACCGCACGGCGCACCGGTCAATAGAATTGTCTATGGTAACGGGCCTGTCAACACTTCCAACATGGGAGCCTTCTCCCCCGCCCCCAGCAGTCATCTGGCATCGCCGACAACGCCAACATCAGCATGGTCTGGAAGGAGGGACTCGACCTCATCTAACGCAGACGATGCTTGGCGCAGGCGAACGTGGCATCCTGACACGAGGACCTTCAGCACTAATACCAGCCACCTCAGCAACGTACTGACTCCCGCTCAAATTCAGCTGAATCCTGCGCCGCCCATCGCCAACGCTCCCAATCCTCAGCAGACGCTCCGCCTGCCTGGCATTGAATCCTTTGACCCTCTGCCATCGAGACAGGTGTCGCCTCCTAGACGGATCCCGTCACCGATGATGGTCGATGCTGAGGGCGCTCACCGCCGGCCCATGCTCCCCGGCACCGAAGCTGTCGCGGATGAACGGCGGAACGTAGCTCAATGGGATATGAGCTTGCACCGCGGCCTGACCAGACTGGACATTGCCTCCAACACGACACCCCCTCGCGATAGCGCCGGTGCGTGGGCAAACGAAGTGAACCAGGCTGTGCAGGCACAAGCAGAGCAGGTACGCTTGAACCCGCCGACCGTGAGATTTGAGATCGACCCGCCATCGTATGCCAACTCGGGTGCATTCACTCGCAACCACCAGCATACGATGTCGGCTCCGTCTTTTGCACACAGAGACACCAAACGCCACGGATGGTATCATGGTCCTGTCGGTAGCAATGTCCATGGACCTCGCCCGGAAGCGCCTAGCCAAGATCCTCGCGGACCGCACGTTAACCGCATGATCCATCCCAACATGGGTCACTTTGCTGGTTTTCCTGGACGGCAGCCTGAGCCGCAACAAGCCCAGCAGCAACAGCCCGGCAACCCTGACCCTCTGAGACGGTTGGAGGCGTTGGTGGCCGTTGCCACAAGCGAAGGAACCACTGCCACTGCGTACTGAGATTCTTTGGTGGATCATCAATACGCCACTTTACAACCCTTTCGCCATGTGCCGAGAGGCGATGGTACATATACGCAACACGACTGACGAATTTCTCTTTTCCTTGCTTGGAAACCATGCCGGCAGAGCTTTCAGTCTCTGCATGACATACAGTCGCTTTCTTATCATGATATCCCGTTTTTATATCAAGTTGGTGGGCAATTGCATTTCATCTATGGCAGGCGTTGATACATAGCGTTGAATTTGATCTCCTACCTATCTGGGTGCCACCACCCTCATCTCAGCTCATCTGGATTACGGTCGACTTTTCCACTTTCTCTTTCTGTTTGTCTCTCTTTTCCATTTTGATATCCTGCCTTGACATCTACGGTTTCTTTTTCAGTTTGCCACTAGGTTTGGTTTACCATTGACGGGTTTTTCTTCTTTTCGTTTTTTGTGGGAGCGATTTCGCAAGTAGAATTTCCTATTTTGGTTTTTGATTCCCCGTAACGCTTGCTCACGATCAATGAGATACCCACTCATTCCGGGATGATGGATTCAGTGGTGGATAGTAATGTGTCGCTCTCTCGGCGGTTGAGACGGACAGACAGTCGGCCTGCACGCATATATATGGAAGCAGACCAAGGATTGGAGGGAAAGGTTGGCGGATATGTGTGTGGACGAGATACCCGAGCTTGGTAACGACCGGCTGCCCTGATTTATAGGAGGCCCGGTCGATGCTCACAAAGTTGGAAGCGATGGTTTCGAGGCCATCACCAAGGATCGGGCGGTATACATGTGTCTGTAGGCGTACAACCGGAAGGAATAACGACGCACATGCTCTCAATGATTATCTTATCTGGAAAATGTTCTATCTTTCTCTTGGTGACTGATGATGACTTGGTGACCGGCATTGTGAATTTGCTTGTGATGAGGGGAACCATACTAGGTAAAGTAGGGCGAAGGATGGCTAGCCTTTCATGCACGATGATGTGATTCATGTAAGCGGTGCTGCAGATGTCTGTCAAACGCCAGCCACTTAGACAGCTTCAGTGACGACGATCAATAGATTAAGGGACTCGGCGGCCACGATTGATGGATTGGCGCCCGGTTCAAACCTTGATGGGGGGAGTAACAACGACGGACGACTTTTTAGAGGTGGCCGTCACCCGTGTACGGACCTGTGCCCCCCGGCATCTTTCGGAGGAATGCCGATCATGTCTGCCGAAGTTTTCTTCAGCGGTCAGGCCGTTTGAAAGGTGGATCTGAGGGAGACCCGGGGCTGGACGATACCGGTTCACGGCGGGATAAACCCATTCTTACCCCTCCCCCCCCCCCTCCCCTGCTTGACGGGCGGTGAATTATAATTTATTGAAGGTGTTTTCTCGTCACTATTGTGTTTTTTGAACTTCGGGGTTTGGAACGGGTCCGGGAGTCCGTGGGGTATCGAGTTATAGGATGAGGAGGTGGAGGAATGTTGCACGTTTCTCTTGGTTTCGTTCTAGAGTACCAGGCAAGTAGGAAGTGCGAGGGCAGATGTTGAAAGTCGACTACATACTTAGCTAGGTGTGTTCAAGTAGGGTTTTCAGGTCGCCGGTGAGGCCCGATCTAGGATAAGAGCTCCCTTTGCTTTGAAGGAATTCGTCCGATGGTTCGTTTCGAGATAGGTTCGGGAGTCGGGCGGAGCAGTATGTGGTGGTTTACCCTGTCTAAGCCCGGTAACAACGCGGGGGAGAGGGGGAGGAGGAGGAGGAGGGCGGGGAAGAGATGAAGAGTTGGAACCTGGAGAAATGGAGAATGGAGTCGTTAGCCTGGCACTTTGGTATCCACAATGTTACAAAAGACGAACGGGGCCGAGGGACGGGGGATGGGGGATGAGTATTTATTACCGGTTCGCCGGGTATTATCCTCTGGCTTTGTCTCTTAAGAAGTATAGAGACTAGTCCATCCTCTCGTCGTAGATCCCTTCATCTCATTTCCGACGAGAATAAGACTGATACAGTCTGAGACCATCATGTTCTCTAAACCACCGGATCCTCCGGGCCTCCTCGGGACGACGCTCTTCGCCCTCGCCGTCCTCGCAACTTCAACCTCCGCATCGTCGTCCCCATCCACATCCGCAAATTGCGACCCTTCAACCTTTACATTCCCCCTCATCCCCGGCCTCCAACACATCAAAACCACAGCATTGCAAGTCCACAACTACACCTCCTTCCCAAACCGCCTCTCCGAAGCCTCCCTCGCGACAACATCCGCCTCCACAACCGGTATCCCCCCCTTCTGCAACGTCACAGTCTCCTACACCCACCCAGGCCACGATGACCTCGTCAACGTACACGTCTGGCTTCCCCTCGAAAAGAGCGCGTGGAACGAGCGGCTCATGGGGCTGGGTGGCGGCGGGTTCGTCGTCGGGGAGGTAGATGGCGATGGACCGAGTGCCGCACTCCAAGAAGGGTATGTTGCGGCTGTCACAGACGGCGGACATCTCGCGAGTACACCGCCCGGCGTATGGGCGTTACGAAGCCCGGGGAACATTGATTGGCCGCTGCTTGTCAACTTTGGATACAGGAGTCTGCACGAGCTCGCTGTCGTGGGCAAGGCCGTGTTGAGGACGTACTATGACGCTGAGGAGAGGTATAGCTACTTCAAGGGGTGTTCGACGGGTGGGAGGCAGGGGTTAGCTGTTGCGCAGCGGTTCCCGGGGGACTTTGACGGGGTGTTGAGCGTTTGTCCTGCGGTGGAGTTTCCTGCTATGGTGACGTCGTTGTATTTCCCGCAGTTGGTTATGCGGTGGAGGGGGTATTGGCCTTCTGGGTGCGAGTTGGGGGAGATTGTGAGGGCTGGGGTTAAGATGTGTGACTTGGGTGATGGGAAGAGGGATGGGGTTATTGGAAGGTTGGGGGAGTGTGGGTTTGATGTGAGGACGGCGGAGGAGAGGGAGTTTAGTTGTGAGGGCGAGAACGGGAGGAAGATCGAGGGGAGGGTGTCGAGGGAGGCGGTTGAGGTTGTCGAGGAGGTTGTGAGGGGGGTTTTGGATGAGGAGGGGAGGGAGATGTTTCCGAGTTATGTTCCTGGGACGCAGTTTGCGGGCTTGCTTGCTATGATGAATAGTGTCTGCGAGGACGAGACGGATCGAACGCGGTGTACAGGTGTGCCGTTCTCCGTGACGGATGAATGGATCCGGCTCTTTATCGAGAAGGATCCGGCGTTTGATCCGACATCGATGTCGAGGGAGACTTTCCGGGACGTCTTCCGGCGGGGAGTTGAGGAGTATGACTCCGTCATTGGGACGCCTATCCCGGATATGAGACGATTCAGGGAGCGTGGGGGAAAGGTGCTCATGTGGCACGGCATGGCGGACCAGGCTATTTCTATCAAGATCGGACGAGGGTTGTATGAGAAGGCCAAGGGGATCGAGGCGAAGCGTGGGGTTGAGATTGAGGAGTTTTGGAGGTATTTTGAGGTTCCTGGGGTGAATCACTGTGTTTCGATGTACGGGGCGCCGTTCCCGTGGAGCGCATTGGAGAAGTTGAGGGCGTGGGTTGAGGATGGGCATGCGCCGGAGCAGTTGGATGCGAGGGGGTTCAAGATTGGGGAGAATGGCAAGGTGTTTATTGACGAGGAAGTTAAAAGGATTTGTCTTTATCCCGAAGAAGGGGTCTGGGATGGGAAAAGGTGGGTTTGTGTGAAGCCCGGAGAGAAGGCTGAGGCGATTCAGGAGAAGGAGGAACTTTGAATGAGGGTTTGTGGGATGCTGGCTCGAGGGCACCAAGCAAGATATTAAGGTAATGAGGCACGTTGGTTGTTCAAAATCCGGCCATGGTATTTATACATATGATATATACAACAACATCTACACCATCTCACTTCCATCGTCTAAAAGGATGCGCCTCGGTATTAAACACATATTCATCCAGACTCACCAAGCCAGGCTCGCTAAAGATGAGATAAAAGTACTTCAACGTCTCCCCCATCCAAAACGACTCCATCGAGTCCGACTGAGGAGGCCGTCCCTCGGCTGTGACATCCCACACCGCCGTATTAGCCAGCTCCGTGCTCGTGGCGTTGTCAATAGACGAAAACATGTCCCACGCGGAGTCTAACAAGGTCGTGTCGGCCGTAGTACGATACATGATGAACACACTTTCGATTGCCTCGGGGCGGAGGATGTAGCGCCGGTCTGGGACGGCGGAGAATCCTGGGACAAGGCGGCCTTTTTTGATGAGTTCGTCTGCTGTGAGGACCTCGTCGTCGTCCTTCTTCTCTGCGCGCTCGAGGACGTGTTTCTTGTAGAGGGCTTCGTCCCATGCGCATTCTTGCTTGGAGGGGCAAGGGACCATGTAAAACGTCTCCGGCATGATGCCGTGCGGGAAGGACTTGTAAGCATACACGCACCCGTCGACCAGTTTCCTCGCTACAGATACTTCGTCGGGGTGGTTAAACAGCTTTCCACCTAGTGCAAGAAGCCCGCCCATGAAGCAGACGAGGTGCTGGCCCTGCGGCTCCTGTTCAATCGTGCGTACGCCGTTGCTCTCGCGCGAGTGTGCCTGGCCCGCGATGAGGATATCTTCGTTGCCCGGTGTCATGGGCCGGAAGAGGTTATGTTCGATGGCAGGTTTCACAGCGGCTTCGTACATGGATTTGTACATCCCGCTGCGTCCGCCTACGAGGGCGGACATCTTGGGGAGGTATTCGTAGAGGGAGTCGGCCATTGCGCCGAGGGTGAAGTCGTCTCCTTGGCTGAAGACTTCGTCTTTTGGGTTCACGACTAGAGGCCAGAGACCGGGGATGTTGGTTTCGTTTTGTTGCCGTTCAAAGATTTCCATGATGCGTTGGGTTGCGTCCCAGAACTTGGGGTCGCCTGTCAGTATTGAGAGGCGTGTGAACTCCATTGACAAGCTTCCTATCTCCGCAACCAGAGCACCATTCCCGACGTCCTGGGCGTCGCCGCGGGCGGCATCGCCGACTTTCCAACGGGTGATGGGCATGCGGTTGGGCGTGTCAAAGGCCTTGTAGAGCATCTCGCCGACCTCGGCTGCTTTCTGGAGTAGGCGGACGTCGCCCGACAAGTCAAAAGCCGAGAGAAAGCCGCCCAGGTAGCGGATGGTTGTCTCGAAGACGTTGATCTCGTCGAGGTCGGTATGCGTCAAGTCGATTGTTGCCGCGGCGGCAACAGCCTCGTCGAAGTCGGACTTCATGTCCATGATCCAGAGGGTGTCGAGGGAGTCTACGAGGGTCGCGGCCCAGCCTCCGAACGTGTTGCGGCCTTTCCCGGAGACGGGAGTGAGTTCGTCGTACATCCATGCATTATCGCGATAAGATTCCCATGCTTTGGCAAAGGCTCTCTTGACGGCTTGTTGGCGTTCTTCGCGGACGCGGCGTTGGGTGCCGGCCTCGGGTGGGAAATGGGCCTGGACTTGAGGGAAGCGGATTGGAGGGCATGATGGAAGTTGTCGTAGGGGAGTCGGGGCTGGGTAGTTGACCTTTCTCGTCTTCCAGAAGTAGTTTCTGTCGTCTTCTGTCTGCCACTGGACTGGCTTGGGAGGGAGTGACGTTTGCGATAATGAAGATATTGATGGTAGGGTTGGCAATTTAGAGTCACTCTGCCAGAAGATGCACAGCAGTAATAACACGGGCACAGCCCAAAAGATGAAGCATGGTTGTCTTCTTCGAGGGACAATCATCTTGAAAAACGCAGCAAAGATGATTGATGAGAGCAGAGAGATCCGAGAGGGCCCCTCGATCCCCTCCTCGTCTGTCTCCTGGCATGCTCTCTTTATGAACTCCCCGCATATCCTCTCCTTTGTGTTCTGTCTGTTTGGCCCCATCTTGGCGGTTAGCAAACATGCCGTCAGGATTATATTGCGGCCCCCATGTCGCATTGCGAACAGCATCTCTCACGCTTAAAGACGCCTGCCACCCTATTTCCCGTTACCATGATGTGATGAACGAAAGTCTAATGATGGTAAAGGGTTGCATTAAAGCACGGGAAGAGGCCATCTCCCACGGGTAAGGTAGCGGGCGGCGTCTATGATCCCAGATTCATGCTGGCCTATCTTCTTGATGAAGGCTAGCAAGGTTACATCGTGAAGGAAACCCATGCGAAAATGCAAGGGGGCCGAGTGCAAGTCTGCATTTCCGTCACCAACGACGACGAGAACCAACAGAGAAACGCGAAGAGTGGTCGACGCCCCCACTGTTCATGCATAGCGCGGTGCGCCACGCCGTCTTGGTGCTGCAGGTTGTTCTATTTACCTTCTCATGTCAAACGAGCTGGGCTGTTTGCGCGGCGCGTCTCGGCTGGGAAAGCGGCGGTTGAGATTCGAGAGCTACGCCTCTTTGAGGCTGCATGAGCTGTGGTCTCATAAAGATTGAGGCACAGTTCAGGCGAGCGGCGTAGCAATAAGGAATCTAGCAAGTTAATGAGGGGCGGTTTCACGAGTTCAGATTGTTGTTTGCTTTGCTTGTTTGATGGGGGGATAAGACCCCCTCCCCAATCTCCATCCTCACAAGGCACGACAGTCTAGCCGATAGTAAGCTCGCTTGGCGGTAATGCGTTGCGAAGATTCCTATTCAGTGGCATCATTACACCACTTGAGTGTTGAGCTGAAATTTAGAGCTTTGAAGGACAAACTTGGTGGATCCTGGAGACTATTCATACAAGTCTCTCAATTTGAGTCCCGAACTTGAATTCGCCCAGTATCCTGTAGTTCTCACACATAACTTCAAAATGAGAGCCTCGTTCTTTGACTGTGTTTATTTACTTGTTCAAGAATATATACAATGGAAGGTCCTATACTACGGGGTATCAATAGCATCATCTCGCTCAGTACCAGAGCGCCTTGTTCCAGAACTTGGCCTGGGCATTCGCCAGGTCGTCCTCCTCGAGGTAAAAGGTAGTGTTGAAGACCATCTGAGTGCCGGCAGTAGAGCTATTGCCGTACTGGGGCCACTCGATCTTGTCCTCGGGCCACATGGTGTTGGGGTTGCCAGTCAAGACGAAGGACATGAGGTACTTCTGCATCATGACGGCGACAGTGGCGTTGACAGTGGCGGAGCCGCCGCCGGGTCCACCGGCACCACCGGAGGGAGGGCCACCGGCGCTGGAGGAAGCGGTTGCCGAAGCAGCAGCGGAGGTTGCGGTCGAGTTTGAGGCGGTGGAGTTGGATGTGGTGGTGCCGGTGCTAGAGGTGGAGTCGGAGAGGGAGTAGGTGCTGTACCCTGTTTGATGTATTAGATGATATGTGACATGCGAGAGGAGGGGTGGAAATAAGCTTACAGTAGTAGCTCTGGTCAGTGCCGTGAGTGGCCTGGTCAAGGGCGACCATGGCGTTCCAGGTCTGGTTGTTCATGGCGTGGGTCAGGGCCAAGTTGTGGGCAGTTAAGTCAAAGTGCTGCTTCATGTCGGAGAAGCGAAGACCAGGAGAGGTGTAGTCGTCCTCGGGGTAAAGCGACAGAATCTCGTTGACAACAGCATCGTTGATGGCGGGGAAGAAGATGCGGAGGTAAGCAGCGACATCCTCGGTGGTGTTCACGCCGTCGTAGGCCTGGCCGTTGGCCTCGTGCTGCTCGTGGGTGATGACGACGGGGCCGGAGAAGTTGAAGCGGCGCTGGTAGAACTGAGCCTCGTAGGTGTCGGCGATGATGTCGCCGTCGACGCGGGGCTGAAACTGGTAGTCGTAGGCGTCCTGGACCGTGGTGGCGGCAGTGTTGAGGGTGTCGAAATCGATGGAGCGCATGCACTCGAGGCTGCCGCCGGAGCAGCCGGCCTCGGTGGAGACGTTTTGCCAGAAGGCTTCGGCGTGCTGGTGGCCGGCACCGGGGACGAAGCCGGGGGACATGACGTACGCGCGGTTGTAAAGCTGCTCGGCATGGCCGGCGAAGCGCTTCACGGGGTGTCAGCTTAGATATCTAATAGTTAGTTCGATATGAGTACTTACAGTCATCTGGAAGAGGGTCTGGGAGCCACCGGCAGAGAAGCCCACGGCGGTGACATCGTCGGGGTTACCGCCAAAGTTGCTAATGTACTTCTTGGTCCACTCAAACGCGGCCGTGACGTCCCAAATAGCAGTGTTGGAGGTGCCACCCTCGTGCAAGAAGGTAGGGCCGTTGGCAAGGCCAGTCATACCGAGACGGTAGTTGTACGCGACGTAAACGAAGTCGGTGGAAAGGTCGAAGAGACCCTCAGGAGTGTTCTCGGACTTGCTTCCGCCGGTGAAGCCACCACCGTAGGTCCACACCATGACGGGGAGGTTCTTGCCCGCAGCATCGGCGGGCGCCCAGACATCGACGTAAAGGCAATCCTCGGCGGAGCTGCAGGCGACATCGGCTGAGGCCAGGTCACCAGTGTTGACTTCGGTCTCGACGGGCGGCGCTTGGGGCTTGGCCCATCTGAGGTCGCCGGTGGGAACGGCGGCGTAGCGGATGTTTTGGTACTTGTAGTAGCCGACGGACTCATTGCCGGCGGTGGCGACTACGGTACAGTAGTCGAGGGTCACAGATGGGAGGGATCCGGATCCGGAGGTTGCTGTCGGGGCCGGGGCGGTGGTCTGAGCCGCAGCCAAAGCTGCCATCAGCAGGCAGGTGTTTGTGAACTTCATCTTGGATTCGAGGATTGAAGCGAAGGTGAGTAGCGATCGGGAGGTGTCGTTGGTTTGCGATACTCCTCAAAACCCTTTTTCTTCAGGGTCGACATCGTGGGCTGTTTATATAACAGAAAGCATCTAACTTCAACTC